GGGCGCGGGCCATGGCGGGCTGCTGCGCGGCGCTGGCCGCCTTCCTGTTTGAGTACGACACGCCGCGCATCGTGCTCATACGCAGCCGTAAAGTGGGGCTCATGAACCGGGCCGTGCAGCTGCTCATCCTGGTCTACGTCATCGGGTGAGCGCGGCGGCGGGCGCCGTGGCTCCGGGGGCTGGGGGTGACCCGATGGCTGGGAACACTCCCTTCTGGGGCCCGGCCATCCGCCTGCTCATCCCGGCCTAGGTCGTCGGGTGAGCCCCGCGGGCGCCCTCCATGCGGGTTCTGGGGGCGGCGACCCGAGGCCAGGGACACCCACCCCCCTCCCCGGACCCTAGCCACGGGGGTTGGGGGGGACGGGCTCTGTGCCGGGCTCCGGGGCAGGGGACTGCTTTGATGTTGTGTTTTAAGGACAAAGCCTAACTAGACCTTCATCCTCACCTTTCCTGCTTCTTGTCCTTCTGACTTGCTCCATGATGTCCTTTGGCTGCGTGGCGGCTGTGCCCTAAACGTCTCAATCTTTGCTCCGCACTTCCCATTCTGATGATCTGCTGACAAACCAAGGTTTAGAATTTCCGCTTGCTTCCTTTTGGGTCTGTGGCTTCTGGTCTTTTCCTTTGAGCACCGTGTGGTAACCCAGGATAGTAGAGCGGTCACACTTCCACAAAGCGTTTCAAGTTCGCTTCCTTTGTTTTGTGGAGTTGTTAGGGTTTTTTTGTATAGTTACCGGCCTTAGCCTCATCATACCCCGTGCTGCCCTCTTATGCTTATATGGGCCCTACCACCCATATAAGAGAACCTTCACTTCTCACCAAGTGCTTAATTTTAATTGAATGCATGCGTTACAATTTAATAAAACTCAAGAGAGGAGGTGGAAATTAGTTTACCAACTGAGGTAAGGTCCACCTGGTGGTTATGGTGTTTACACCTGCTGAGCTGACAGATGTTATGTACTCGGTCATTCCTTTTGCAATGGCCTAATGCAGTGGTCCCCAGCTGCACATTAGAACCGTTTGGGAATCTTTAAAAAATTCTGATTGCTGGCACCCATCCCCAGACCTTCTGATTTAATGGCTGTAGAGTATGACCAACTCCCCAGGAGATTCTGATGTGCAGAAAAGTCTGGGAGTCAGTGTTCTAGTGTTTCCCAAACCTACCTGATCATGACTCACCTGAGTAATTGTTTAAAAGTAACAGATTCCCCTACCCTGAGATGAGGCTCCGAATCTATTAACACTGCCCAAGGGAATTTGCATGATCCCACGGTTCTGGCTTCTTACATCGATCTGCCCAGCAGCAATAGGTACTGACAGTATTCAATAAAATGGCTTTCCAGGCATGGACTCTACATCAGAACTGCCTAGACCTCCCCCAGGTTTGGACTCATTAAGTACAACTGCAACCAACTCCTTGCCCCCTCAGTGATTGTGACGTACCCTTAAATTTTGAGACCCACTGCCAGCTGGTTAACTAAACTCACATTGCTTGGTTGGACTTGAAGCATTTGGAATCAGGAGCTCTCCCACAGCTCTTTCCTCTTGGCTTTTGATGCTCATGGGAGGCTCGGTTTACATCAACCTTAGGGTATCTGTAAAGTTTTAAACTGCAGAAAGTATCTATTTCTGTGCTGCAAGATATGGTAGCCACTAGTCACATGTGGCTGTCGAGCACTTGAAATGTCCCTACTCCAAATTGAGATGTGCTGTCACTGTAACATACACACTAGATTTCGAAGACAGTACAAAAAAAAAGTAAAATATCACATGAATACGTCTTACATTGGTAACACGTTAAAATATTTTGATTATGTTGGGTTACATAAAATGTCGTTAAAATTAATTTTACCTGTTTCTTTTTACTTTTTAACATGGCTACTAGAAATGTTTAAACTACATATATGGCTTGTGTTATATTTCGTTTGGGCAGCTCAGCTTTCTAGGGTTCTTGTGGAGTGTTCTCTACCTTGATCGTGAGGGTGTTTAAAGCAGTAAATGCTTTGCTTTTATCCACCTTGCTATGATCAAAACTAACTCAGGATCTGAATTAAGAGGTGTTTTTTTTTTTTTAACTTGTCTCTTAACTTCCTGATCCAATTCATCTTGGTGAAATTGTGGTCTCTTCCCATAGTGACCTACAGCAGTCCGTCCTCCAAAACATACATTTCTCAGTTATCTATTTCTCTTATCAGTCACATGAAGAAGAAATAGCGATTCCTGTGAAACCATGTATCTCTGATTTAGCAACTCACTGTACTTGGTGGTAAAATGAGTGATCTTCTTGCCCTAAGTTTCTTTGTGTCCAACTAGAATTAAATGGAATCTTATATTGCAGCTGAATTCCTAGAACCCCTTGAAGAAGAGGACTTGTTAGGGGGAAAGCCCATCTCTAGGATGGGCAGTGAATTTGGAAACTGCTCAGGCTGGACAAACCCATAAATAAGGGACCAAAACCAGTGAATTTCTGAAGTCTCAGCATCTAGGGCTTATAAGGAGGGGAGAGGGATGCTAGCATTTCTTGATTCTAGAAACAATAACAATAGTAACAGTTGCTGGTAGATGTTGAACAACAGCTCTGGTGGGGTGGAGTTCTGATTTGTAGTATTGGCCAATTTCCATAGTGTAAATACTCCCATCATGGCCAATTTCATCCTACTGATGGCGACTCACAAACATTGTTCTAAGCATTTGACATACATTAACTCATTTTTTGTGTGTGTGAGGAAGATCAGCCCTGAGCTAACATCATCCATGCCAATCCTCCTCTTTTTTTTTTTTTTGCTGAGGAAGACTGGCCCTGGGCTAACATCCGTGCCCATCTTCCTCCACTTTATATGGGACGCTGCCACAGCATGGCCTGACAAGCAGTGCATTGGTGCACACCTGGGATCTGAACCCAGGCCACGAGCAGCAGAGCATACGCACTTAACTGCTACGCCACGAAGCTGGCCCCACATTAACTCATTTAACCTCATAACAATCCTGTGAAGTCTTATTATCATTCCCATCTTATAGATGGGAAAAACTGAGGCAAAGAGAAGTTAAGCAACTTGGCCAAAGTTATGCCTAGTGCATGGTGGGGCTGAGACATGAACTTGTGTTCATGTCTTCAGTCTGTGTTCCAGTGTCCTAACCACTATGCACTAATGCCTTTAGATTTTTAATTATTCAGGCTGGTAGTAATACCCCCACTTTGGAGGAGAAAAGCATTAATGTGACCTGAATTCTTGGAGAAAAAGTAAGAAACTACTATAAAAAGTTACCTGAATGGTGAGATTCTCCCTTCTCCAGGGATTTTAGCATAGAGGGCAAGAGAAGAGGCTTCAGAGGCAAAAGGCTTGAGTTCAAATCCTGACTCTGTCACTTACTAGCTGTATTACCTTGGGTAAGTGGCTTAACCTCTCTGTTTCTCAGTTTCCTGCTCTGTAAAATGGATAACAATAATGATGCTTGCCTTATAAAATGATCAGTATTAAATTAGTTAATACATATAAAGACCTTAGATCAGCACCTGGCACCTAAAAACCCTCAAATGGTAACGGTTACCATAATTTTTATTATCTCTTGGTGATTCCAGAGGTCACAGTGCCTTGAAAGTGCTCCAATACCTAATAATAAAGACAGCACTCGTTGAGTATTTTCTTTGTGCTATTCACTGTGCTAAGTGCTTTACCTGCATCATCTCCTTTGTTTCCCAGAAACCAGCCGGTGGTTTAGGTGCTATTATCCACATTTTGCAGGAAGTGGAAATGGAGCCCCCAGAAGTTAAGCAGCATTTGCAAAGTCACATAATTAGTAAATGTCATACTTTGAGCCTCTGCCTATCAGAGGCTCCCTAGCATCATTTCAAATTCATGGAATCCTAACGGCAATTTAAGAGACCTGTTTTATTTTGTAGGTGGGTGTTTGTTTGGGAAAAGGGATACCAGGAAACGGACTCAGTGGTCAGCTCAGTTACTACCAAAGCCAAGGGCGTGACTGTGACCAACACTTCTACGCTTGGATTCCGGATCTGGGATGTGGCCGATTATGTGATTCCGCCTCAGGTACCCCTCTCGCTAGGACTTCTGTCTAACACTAAGGCTTTTTTTTTTTTTTTTTTTTTGGTGAGGAAGATCAGCCCCGAGCTAACTGCCAATCCTCCTCTTTTTTTGCTGAGGAAGACTGGCCCTGTGCTAACATCCATGCCCATCTTCCTCCACTTTATATGGGACGCCGCCACAGCATGGCCTGATAAGCGGTGCATCAGTGTGCGCCCGGGATCCAAACCGGCGATCCCCGGGCCACCGCTTAACCACTTGCGCCACCGGGCCGGCCCAACACTAAGGCTTCTAGTTAGCTCCTTTCCCTTCCCTCACCTTGCACACTTGATTAATGATTGGCACGGCCAGAGTTCTAACATCACCAATGCCCAGACTGATCGTCTTAGTCGAGAAAGCAGTGCAGACAGATCTCTTTTTGGCTTAGGGTCTAACTGGTAATATCCAATCAGCTGTGTTTCTTCAGTTGTAAAATATGGCTGGCTTAAACACAGGAAGCTTTCCATATGGACATCTCGGTGTGTCTCAAGCCCTGAAAGATGAAAAAAGCAAATGTTTTAAATCCTGGGAAAAACTCAGGTGGAAATATCACCTTTCCACATTTTGTATTTGCTGTATTGTTGTAAACGAACAAGGTAAATCTTTTCAGACAGTGTAAAAACTTTAACGGCAATTAGAGACCAAAAGCTACACGAGAAGGAAACAGACATACCCACGTAGGATTCCATCAGGAGCAAAGGTAAGGGAAGAAATTGTCTGAGGCAGCATCCTAGTCTCCAGGCTGTTAATCCACAAAGCTCCAAGTTAAATATTGACTCAGCCAAACCCTGACATATCCCTCCAGATGGCTTATGTGCCAAGGTGACTAGGGGTGCCAAATGAAGATAAGCTGCCAACTCTTGGCTCAGAGCTCTGTGAGGGAAAGCAAGGATTTCAGAAACTCTCTCTTTTTTCAAGTGTATTCATATTCCCCCCTGCCTTCTCAAGAGGAGGGTCTTCGGGGGGGTGCCCAGAGAGAAGACAGAGCTAATGAGCTATAAACATCAAATGGAACAGAGGATTCGTAGTTTGTGGGAGGTGGGTGGTCCTGTTGGCATGCACCTGTCTCGACAGAGAGACTTCTGCTTCCTAGGAAGGCACGGCCTCGTCCTGGCAAGCTCTGGGAGTATCACACTCAGTCTGTTTACTGGAACCAAGGAAAGGTCTGGGCCCCTGCTTCTGCCGCTCAGTGGAAAGGGACATATGCAGCAACTCGGCCTTCCCTCACGGATCTGGGCTGGGGGCTGTGTGAGTTCCACACGGCTCTCTGCATGAGCTTTCGTGATGTCCTTCTGCTTCTCTGAAGATGGAAGACAAACATGTGTTTGCACCACATCTGCATGGCTCATCTCCAGACGGAAAGTTCCCTAAACTTAAAATACAGTCATGCGTTGCTTAACTTTGGGGATACATTTTTAGAAATGCATTGTTAGGCAATTTCATTGTTGTGCCAACATCATAGAGTATGCTTCCATACACCTAGATGGTATAGCCTAGTACACACCTGGGCTCTGTGGTACTAATCTTATGGGACCACTGTCATATATGCAGTCTGTCATTGACTGAAATATCGTTATCTACAGTGCATGACTGTAGATAAGAAATAGGAAACCAAAAGTAGACCCTACTGAATTGTTCAAGTCTAACTCAGGAGAGTCATAGGAGCAGCCTTCTGTAAACACCAAGTAAGCATATATAAACACCAAGTGTTTATATATGGAACACCTGTGCCAGGAGAGCCATTCAGGTGTCATGCCACATCCTCATACCTTGTCTTGTGGCCATTTCCTCGTCTCCCAACATGATTTGTTCTAGCCCTTTCTTTGAAAGACACCAGCTATTCCCAGAGCTTCCACCACCTTGTCAGATCTGGAGGTGGAGATATCTTCACCTTTGGTCCCTGAGTTACCCTGAGTCAATCCTCTAGATGGCTCCCAGCGCTGACTCCGCTCTTCCGAGGAGTGTAAAATGTGGAGAGAAAGCTTCTGGCGTTTCATTTTAGAATGCCAGCACCCAGTGAAGGGGAGGTCCAGCTAGGATCTTTTGGGGTCTTTGTCTTTTACTCCTTGTACTGGGAGGTCATTATTAGCAGTTCTTCAGTCTCATCTCCAGTGAATTGCTCTCCAGAACTCTAAATAACCATTTGACACCTTTATACTTATAGGAAGAAAACAGAACCTTCTCAAAGGGAGAAGTGTCAGTTGCTGACCCTGATTGAGTCTTCTCCAGAATGTTTTATTTATTTTAATTCCAGTTAGGAAAGAAAACCAGCCAAATTTGAGACCTTTAAGGCCTCATGTTTTTGTACCTTCGAGGTAGTCTAGTTGGCAGAGAATTTTAGAGCACTTGTTGGCTCTTTTCCCTCAACAAGTCAAACTTTGTTAAGGAACCATTTCAGGTTATAGACTTTTTTTTCATTGAGATGAAATTCCCATATCATAATATTAACCATTTCAAAATGAAAAATTCATTGGTATTTAGTGCATTCACGATGTACAACCATCACCTCAGTCTAGTTGTGGAATATTTTCATCTCCTTAAAAGGAAGAGGAAACCTCATACTCATTAAGCACTCCCTATTCTACCCTCCCCCTTACCTCCTGGCAACCACTAATCTACTTTCTGTCTCTATGGATTTGCCTGTTCTGGAAATTTCATATCAATGGAATCGTACAATATGTGGCTTTTTTCTGGTTTCTTTGACTTAGCATAATGTTTTTGAGGTTCATCCACAGTGTAGCATGTGTCAGTGCTTCATTCCTTTTTATGGCGGAATCATACCCCGTTATAGGAATAGCCCACAATTTGTTTATCCATTCATCTGTTGATAGACACTTGGGTTGTCTCCACCTTCGGGCTATTGTGAATAATGCTGCTGTGAGCGTGCATGTACAGGTATTTGTTTGAGTCCCTGTTTTCAGTTAGGTTATAAACCCTCGTAGGAGAATGGGAGACCATAAGATCAGTTTTTTAAATTATTTTCTGCGTGGCATGTGGGAGAAGTAAAAGGTACTGTCCAATAAGTGGACATCGGCCTTCCTTGTGGTTCTGCTTGACTCCTCTGAAGGTAATACGGCAGTGCTCTCTCCCCTCTGCCCACTCTACAGGAGGAAAACTCCCTCTTCGTCATGACCAACATGATCATCACCATGAACCAGACCCAGGGCCTCTGTCCTGAGGTAGGCAGCTTCTCCTGGAAGAGCTTTGGGCCTCACGCCACCCCTGCTCCATGCCCAGCGGCTGTGTGTGGAGCCAGGCCTCGTGGAACTTGTTTTCACTTGTTCTTCTTTTTCCAGATTCCAGATAGGACCACTGTGTGTAAGTCAGATGCTGACTGTGTTGCTGGCTCCACAAGCACCCACAGCAGCGGTACGAACACGTGTCTGTGACCCCACGGTAGACGCTTAGCCTTGGGGAGGGCAGCCCCCGACCAGATGGCACCCCCTGTGGGGCTCTCTGATAGAGAAATCTCCAGGATAAGGAAATCCCCCACATCCCCCAATGCATGTGCATGATCCTGGGTGAGCCTGGTGTCCTTGACATGCACCTCTGTCACCTGTGCCCCAGAAGCCGTCCCAGATCTTGCCCTGTGCTGTGGCTTGGCGTCACTCTAGCCCCGCGGTTGGTAGAGCAGAGATGTGGCTAGGACTCAGGCACCTGTTTTCTTCCAATTCCAATTTCGAGACACTGTCTAAATCCCAGAAGTGGAGTAGCTCAGGATGGATCGCATAGGATGCTGTGGTGGGGCTTCCACTCTCCACCTCACAAAAGCAGAAAACAGGAAACCCCCATGGACCTGGGTCCTCCCTGCCCCTGTAGGAGTCGCAACAGGAGGATGCGTGCCGTTCAATGAGACTGTGAAGACGTGCGAGGTGGCAGCCTGGTGCCCGGTGGAGTATGATGCACACGTGCCAAAGTGAGTCCTGACCGAGGGAGGGAAGTGCCCTAAACTCTGATTCTCAGGCCTGAGGGAAGGTGGCAGGGGAGTTAAGCCTGTGTGTTGTGGCTGTGTGCTCTTGGTGTCCGGATAGTCAGGCTTCTCTAGGCTGGCGGTTCTCAACCACAAGTCAGCAAGCATCAGTGGTGAGATGGGCCACAGTGTGTGTCACTCATGATAAGAGTACAGATGACTTATTTCTATGTTAGGACTCTGTCAGTTGCAAATAACTGACAGGAAACTGTTCTCGGTGCCTTAAGTACGCATGTGCACACGCTGTGGCTACGGCTTCTTGTTCAACTAACGACAGAGATCCCAGCATGTCTAGCTCTGGGGCTCAAAGGACAGCATCAGAGTCTCCACCTTGTGGCTCTGCGGCCCTTGTGTTGACTTCACTTGCAGGACCTCGTGTAGTCCCAGGAGGCGGCTCTGGGCCTACATCCCTCCAAGGCCGAGTGTCCCTGCCCAGTTGTCCATAGAGATTCTAGACCTGTCCAACATCACATCTTAGGCCACATTTCTTAACCCATCACTGTGGCTGGGGGATGGATTTTGCTTATCAGCTCGGGCCTGAGTCCCATGCTCACTTATGGAGCTAGGAGTGGAGTCAGCCCCATCCAAATGACACAGGCTGAGAGTGGGGGAGCTGTGGCTTCTAAAGGAAATTTGAGATTCTGTTACCAGAAAAAGGGGGAACAGATGCTGGGCAAGAAAATAATTAAAGCCCACTATAAAGTGTGTTTCATAAACTAGAGCAGGTTTAAGGTTGCTCTAAAATAACATTCTTCCCTATTGTAATTTGCTGTGCTTTGAGTGGGTGAAGTTAAAGGTAATGCTCTCAGAATTGCTTGCAACCGCAGCCTGCCTTACCCAGAGTTCAGACTGAAACCTAGATGAGCCCTGGGGGAGCAGGTAGCCACATGAACCTCATCTTGGGGGCATTGCAACAGAAGAAAAGCTTGTGAACTGCTGATTTAGAGATTGCCGTGGGCAGTAGCTCAGGCTAGGGAAGGAAATACTAAAAGAAAGGGAGTCCTGGCATTTTAGAGCTGGAAAGGGTCTTATGGAGCCGTGTTGTCCAGTGTAGGAGCCACTGGCCATGTGTGGCTGTTGAGCATTTGAAATGTCGCTGGGTCCAAAATGCACTCCAGATTCCAAAGACTTATGAAAAAATATATATAATATCTCAATAATATTTATGTTGTTTACATGTTGAAGTAATATTTTAGATATATTGGGTTATTATAGAAAAGTTAATTTCACTTGTTTCTTTTTACTTTTTAATGTGGCTACTAGGAAACTTTAAAATACACTATGGTTTGTGTCTCACAGTATATTTTCATTGGACAGTGCTGTTAAAGATCTAATCTAGTATAGGATGATTTAGTGTACACTGATTCATGAATTAACATTGAGTTACATGGGGAGAAAGACATGCCCATTTCCATTCTAATTCAGCCCCTTAGCTTATACCAAGGAAGAAATCCTGGTTTGGAGTGTCTTTAATACCTTTCTGTCACTTGCTGATTTCTATTTCTCACAAAGAACAAGCCCCGGATTCAGCACCTTGGGCAGAAAATAATATTAACTACAACTTTTAGTAACATTGTTTTGACTTTGTTATATTTATTTGAACAATGACCTCTGACTTGTGGCAAATGATATCTTTTATGGCCACGATGGAAAGTTTCATTTCAAAATGAATGTCAATGAAGAAGTGAGTTGATCCTAAAGGTGGAAACAACCCGAATGTCCATCGGCAGATGAAGAGATAGACTAGTACATCCATACAATGGAATACTACTCAGCCATAACAAGGAATGAAGTTCTGATATACATGATACAACGTAGATGAACCTCGAAAACATTATGCTAAGTGAAAGAAGCCAGACACAAAAGACCATACATGAAACATCCATTCATATGAAATATCCAGAATAGACAAATCAGTAGAGACAGAAAGCAGCTTGGTGGTTCCCAAGGGCTGAGGGGAGGAGAGAATAGATAGTAACTGCTTAATGGGTACGCAGTTTCCTTTTGGGGTGATTAAAATGTTCTGGAACTAGATGGAGGTGATCGTTGTACAACATTGTGCATGTACTAAATGACACTGAATTGTACACTGTAAAATGGTTAATTTTGTTATGCGAATTTCACCTCAATTTTTTTAAAAAGGTGAGTTAATCTTAAAAGTATTGCATATGAAGTACACAGATGTGGGGGGAAGTTCATGGTATAGGGAATGACAAAGTTTGAAAAACCCTGATATAATCCATCCCTCTTGAAACAGGGATGAGGGAATTTGAAGCCCCGAGAGAAGTGCGTTGGTCAAGGCCTGTGCTTGTCATCAGTGGTGACAGGCTGAGCTCTCTTCATTGTGTGGCCTTGTCATTGGCCTTGTTCCTGTCTCAGGTTTGGGAAGACGGTTGGTATTGTTTATAACTCCCCCACAGAGGAGTCAGCCTACAATGCCAGATTCTCCTGTAGAAATCCACCAAAGACGTGGGGTCCCCTTGGGGACAGATTCAACTTGCATTGTCAGCCGGGAGCTGACGTGGCACTTCCAAGAAGAGGCAGTGTGCCAGCAGGCAGGCACTTTTTGTGTACTTTTGCGATGAGGGCAGAATCCAGCCTGCAGGTGGATTTACCTTTGCTGTGACTTGTGAAACCAGATCCCTTGAGCATTCCCCTGAGAACACCTGAGGGAGGCAAGCCCTGAAATCCAACAGCTGCCGGCTGAATGACTTCCAGTGAGGCCCCCAGGCACCACCCCTTGTTAGTTATTCCTCAGGCTCTTAAATTCCCACCGCCTTGGGCAAGAGGCCATGAGAGGAAGAAACCGGAAGGCCTGGCTTACAGTCTCCTCTCTTGACCTAGTGTTTATGCAGAGAGTAGAAAATGCTAGAAATGTTTCACTTTCTTGACAAAATGACATTGTAAGACACGGGTTTATGCTTTTTAAAAATATTACATAAGTATGCAAACGTACCTATATTTGTACTTTTATTAACGATATGTTATAATTTTTTTCAGACCTGCCCTTTTAAAGGCTGCAGAAAACTTCACTCTTTTGGTTAAGAACAACATCTGGTATCCCAAATTTAATTTCAGCAAGTAAGTGGAGGCCAGCCGTGTGAGTTCACCAAGGTCTCGGAGAAGCTTCTGGCTCTTTGAAGTTTTCTTCTCTCCTATTTTCTGCTTCCTCCCGACTTTAGGAGGAATATTCTTCCCAACATCACCACAGCCCACCTCAAATCATGCATTTATGATGCCATAACAGATCCTTTCTGCCCCATTTTCCGTCTTGGCAAAATAGTGGCGCATGCAGGGCACAGCTTCCAGGACATGGCTGTCGAGGTAGGCACGGGTCCTGGCTTTTCTACCACAGTCTTTGACATCTCGTTCTAGAATGGGCTCTGAGGAAAGCTTGCTTTGTCTCTGCTCACAACCCATAGGGAGGCATCATGGGCATCCAGATCAAGTGGAACTGCAACCTGGACAGAGCCGCCTCCCTCTGCTTGCCCAGGTACTCCTTCCGCCGCCTGGACACCCGGGACGTGGACCACAACGTGTCCCCCGGCTACAACTTCAGGTGGGCATGAGCCTGGGCCCCGTCTCTCATGTGTTGGGGGTGATGGTGGCTGGATCACTCCCCAGTGGGGCATCCACGCCCACCAAAGACCAGCACTCAGGCAGCACCCCAAGGGCCGGTGGGAAGGCAGTGCACCAGGGCGAGTGTTCCAAGCAGGGCCTGGTGCCTGTGGCATCCTGGCCCGTGAGAGCCCTCCTTGCCGTTTCCTGCCTCAAGAAACATGTTGAGACAATTTGCAGAGCAGCCGAGAGAGGCTGGCTGCTTGAGCCTTCTCGGGCCAGCCTCAGCCAGGACCTCTGCTCGCTAATTTTGAGGAGTGGATGAGCTTGTGATCTTCCAGTCCAAAGGCCTGTGGGGCCTGAGCCAGGAATTGGTTTCTCAAAACCTGAGTCTGCCCCTGGAATCTCCAAGGTGCAAGGGATACAGATTTTAGCCTCAAGAAAGGCCTTTGCTGTTATTTCCCTGCTGAAGTGCTGTGTATTAGGGCTGTACTAGGGCTGCCATAACAAATTACCACAACCTAGGTGGCTTGAAACAATAGGAATTTATACTCTCACAGATCTGGAGGCTAGAAGCCTGAAATCAGTGTGTCAGCAAGGCCAGGCTCCTTCCTGGCCTCTTCCAGCTTCTGGTGGCTCCGGCCATCCTGCGTTCCTTGGCTCGCAGACACATCCCTCCAGTCTCTGTCTCTGTCATCACATGGCCTTCTCCCTGTGTGTCTGTCACTGTGTGTCCTCACCTCTTCTTATGAGGACACCAGTCATCTTGGATTTAGGGCTCACCCTAATCCAGTATGACTTCATTTTAACTAATTACATCTGCAGAGAGCCTATTTCCAAGTAAGGTCACATTCTCAGGTTCTGGGTAGACATGAATTTGGGGGGACAGTACTCAACCTAGTACAGCTGGTAATCTGATGAGAGGGCCGAGGTGCCAGGGTCATGTTTGCCACTTTCTCAAGGCAGTGACATCTATAACTATGTACATTTTCAGGTGCCCTTTGTTGCATCTTTCACACAGCCCCTCTTAAAAGTAGGCCCTACGGGGGACCTGCTGAGTAGATCAGTGGCGCTGTTGTGTTGCCTTTGTCTCCCTCTAGTGGTGACATGTGGAATCAGATGCACGTGGGATCTGCTCTCCTTTTGAACCATCGAACTCACTGATAGGAGGGCAGATATTTGAATTTTTTTCCCAGTAAGGGAGTTAGATTTGTGTCGCTCTATCTCTGCTGTTACACAGTTCTTGTAGAAACCACTGTCGAAAAACTCAAGCTTGGGTTGGAACCCAGAAGAGAGAAGCTAGTGGGACCCTGAAGAGAAGGACACCCATCCCCCTGAGCTCTGCCAGCATCAGGCCCGCCTCAGTTCAGTTCCTCAGGCGTGGACTGTGACATGGAAGTTGTGGACTGGACAGATCAGGGGCCGAGAGTGCAGGCTCCTGGTGGATCCCCTGTATAACACGGGGCAGCAAATGGTGTCGTGTCTCAGCGGTTCTCACCCCTCCGTGTTTTCACTCCCCCTGGTGTTTTTTTTTAATGGCATTACTGAGATACAGTTCTCATACCACACAGCTCACACATTTAAAGTGTAGAATTCAGTCTTTTTCAGCATTTTCAGAGTTGTGCAACTATTACCATAGTCAATTTTAGAACATTTTCATCACTTCAAAAAGAAACCCCATACCCTTAGCTATCACCTCTCTATCCTCCCATCTACCTCACACTCTGGCAACCACTAATCTACTTTCTGTCTCTAGGGATTTGCCTAACCTGGACTTTCACATGAATGGAATCATACAATATGTGGCCTTCTGTGACTGGCTTTCACTTAGCATCCTGTTTTTTTCAAGGTTCATCCATGTTGTAGCATTTATCAGTACTTCATCCCTTTTTATGGCCAAAGAATATTCCATTGTGTGGACATACCACATTTTGTTTATTCACTCATCCAGTGATGGATCAGTGGTTCTTGAAAAAAAAAAAAATGTCCAGTGCTGATGCTAGTTTCATGGCTGGCTCCATCCCTCCCCCCACCAAGCAGTCATGGAGATTGCTGCTGGCTGGCCACATTCTCTCTGTCAGTGGCCAGGGTCTCCTTGAGAGAGGCAGGTGGCTCAGCTGTATCAGGAAGGACTTCCAGAGCAAGAAGTTCCAGTTTAAGCCGTAGGAGGCAACAGTGATGACGGAGAAGGGAGCGCCTCCTGTGCCCTCGGCGAGCATTCCAGACCCTCTGCCTCTGTGGGGCTTGGCGCCCTCCTCATCAACAGGCCAGCCCTCCTGCTCTGCAGCCCACAGTAGCCGGGAGAGGCCCTGAGATGCTCAAGTGTGGTCTGTTCAGCAAGCAGAGCAAATCTGTAGCCAGTGCCAACTCTGCCAGGGCCTCGGGGAGTTCTGCTCTAATGTCCCTCGCCCACACCGAGCGGCAGATCCAGCCACTGTCTCATGCTGCTCTGTGCCTTCTCCTCTAACCTGCCTCCTTTCCCCAGGTTTGCCAAGTACTACAACGACCTGACGGGCACAGAGCACCGCACACTCATCAAGGCCTACGGCATCCGCTTCGACATCATCGTGTTTGGAAAGGTAGTCCAGCTGCTGGCTCCTCCTGTCAGACCCCACTAGTCCTCTTCTGGGTTGGCTGGGGCAAGGGGCCCTCCTCACCCTGGATCTGCTCTCATGTCTTGCCCACCCCTATCGCAATTCTTTTTTCTTTTTCTTCTGTCATTTGCAGGCGGGGAAATTTGACATCATCCCTACCATGATCAACATTGGCTCCGGCTTGGCGCTCTTAGGGGTGGTGAGTGACTTAGACCTCTTTGTCCCCCGCCAGGGCTGGGGCCCTCCTCAGCAGTAGTTAGCACGCAAGGTGAGACCCTCAGCTGATGCCCTGGTTCTTCCCCTTGACCCTAGACTTGTTTCTAGACTTGACCCTATGGGATTGGTTCCCTTGACCCCCATCCCTGCCTCCACCTTCCCTTCCCCAGCACCACACCCCTCAAGGCCTAGCCTTCTCTCAAGACATGGAGGAGACTTTCCTTTCCATGGAAGCAAGCAAGATTCCAGGCTTCGTGGGAGGGGGCACGCACAGAGTGACAGTGACTAAAGCATCCTGGCTCATTGTTTTTCACCCGTGCTACATTAAGGCAACAGTGCTGTGTGACATCATAGTCCTCTACTGCATGAAGAAAAGATACTACTATCGGGAGAAGAAATATAAATATGTGGCAGATTATGATCAGGTAGGCCACCCCCTGCACTCCAACAGGCATCTGCATGAGGTGAGGCGCTCAGACCTTGAACCAGTGCTGAGAACCCTGGGCGGCAGGCTGTCTGGGGGAGGCCCTAATACAAAAGTTGGCCCTCTTTGGGCCTGTCATCAACCCAGGTAGTCACATGCCACTCTCATCATCTGCGCCACTTCTAGACCATCTGTACTAGTATTTATTTCTTACTTTTCATCAAGTAGACTTACTCCTCAAAATATAGCCTTATTTTAATTATTCCCATCTCAGGTTAGTTATGATAATGGATATTATGACAAAATCTATATACACACATGCCTTGCATAGCAAGAGGGGTGGGATACCATGCTTTGAGACCCCAGCAACTAGCACCAACTTGAGTATGCTCAGCTGTGAAGAGCTGTCCAAAGTCTTCAGGGAAAGTGCCTGGTTCTCGCCCACCCCAAATGGTCCAGGCTTGCCTGCGGGCAGCACGAGGTAGGTGTACACTTACCTATAAGCATGTCAATTAACAAGTATATTGTTCTTTGCAGGGTCTTAGCAGTGAGACAGACCAATGATGCCTACCTCACACCTGGGCTCCCCAAAGCCCTCATCAAAGCACAGCAAGGAGGGAGAAAAGGCTGCCATGTCACCCCAGAGAAAGCTCCAGGTTCTGAGTCAGTCTCCACTCCATTAAGTACTTCAGAGTTGCCCAGCTGCTCCTGTGTTTTGTGTGTAGGGTTTGCATAGTAAACCACGCTGCACAGTGGGTTACCCTCTGTTCTTAGCTGGGTCACCTCTGCTGTTCCTTCATCTTGGGGTCATTGGGGCAAGGTCTGTCCCAAGGGCACTGACACTGCTGTGACTTACAGGCCTGGGGCCTTCTCCAGGACTGGCTTTCCTCAGAAGCTCCCATCTCCAGCCCCCTTTGAGACAGGTCCAGTCCTCTGGGGCCCAGCAGCTCTGTTCAAGCACCTTATGAGGAAAGGAAGGACACCTGGGTGTGGTCGCTAGACCTTTAGCATGCCCGGGTGGCTGTTCCTCTTCCCCCACCACAGACTTCATCCGTCCCCGCAATCGTGAGGCAGAGTTAGTGTTTCTCCTTCGAGAAGAGCTACGTTGAGATGATTGAGGACCAAACATTAAAACAAATGATTTTTTTAATCTTCGTCTGTGTTGTTTCATAGCGTGTGCTAGAACATTCCTTCCTTTCCTTTTACTTCAACCGGTAAATCCATTTGTTGTCCCCGCTCACTGTGCTCAGAAAAGGTCCCTGAAACAGTTGGCTGCTGGAGTTTAGGCATTTTTTTTTTTCCTACTTTAACCTCTTAAAGGCGTAAGAGTTTTGTTTTTTTTTTTTTTTTGTGAGGAAGATTAGCCCTGGGCCAACATCTGTGCTCGTCTTCCTCTAGTTTATATGGGACGCCGCCACAGCATGGCCTGACAAGCAGTGCATCGGTGCGCGCCCGGGATCTGAACCCTGGGCCGCCGCAGCGGAGCGCACACTTAACCGCTATGCCAGCGGGCTGGCCCAGGCGTAAGAATTTTGATCTTCGTTAGGTTGTGTTCCTATGAAGTTCACATGATTTTTTCCTGTGGTGACTACTTGCCTTACCTGTGCTTAGATTTTACATGAAATTGTGATTGTACGCTATAGGGAACACAATTTTAGGCAACATGAAAATGGCTTATCCTCCCTCCTCCCCATTTGCTTCCCAGAAGTCTCCCACCAAAAGCAGCACCACTTAACACCTACTTTGCCACCAGTTTGAAATGTTAATGAAGCTACTTCTAGCTTAGCCTTCACACCGACTTAATTCTGCATCAGGTGTTCAGGATCTCCGGAAAGAAAGCAGCTTGCCCCTCCCCCTTGTCATGAGTTCATTTCCAAGGACTGAGGCAATGTTTATTTTAGAAGTGCTCTGCTTCTGCTGGATAAATGTCCAACCTGGGCTTTTGTTGCTTTGGGGAAAAAAAGTTTACTGAACCCCTTTGAAAAAGCTCTGGTTCCTGCTGCCTTTCTGAAAAATGCCTGCTTGAACCCATGGGTCAAATGGAGCTGCAGTTTTAAGGAATGGCTTATCATCTTGCAGGCTAAGGAGTGCTGGTTACTGGAGTGGGGACTTCCTCTGGCCTCCACTTTTCTAAGAACGCTAAAGCCAGTGGGGGTGAGGAATGGGGGTGGGGGAGGCATTGCTTATTTCACTCACCAGAGTCACCTTGCATTCAGCTCCATCCCCACTGGTTGGCACTCCCTGGCGCTGCCTCTTAAGGAGGGGTCCTTCAACCTTGCATCCGCGGATGGGCTTCCAGGAGTCTCCGAAACCCCTAAAACTCTACAAAGTGATGCACCTGTGTGCACTTCCTGTCGCTTTCATGGATTCTCAGTGGGTCTTTGAATAGGAACACCTGCTCTCGACTCTCAAAGCCAGTGTTGCAGTGCTGTGTGTCTGCAGTGGTGGGACAGGAATCTTTCAGGCTTCATCTGCTGTCCTTTGATAACAAAAAAATGAGGTGCGAAACCAGGAAAGCAATGCCCTGGGCCAGGCTGGAACACAGGGAACCCTCAGCCTCCAGTCTGGAGAAAGCATCAGTTCTGAAACAGTTTCCAGAAGCCATGAAAACTGGCAACCGTCGAGGCTCTGTAGAACACTGAATTCACTGACAAACTCAGAGCCCTTAGACAACTTTCTGAGGCTCAGTTTACAGGTGTTGATCCATAAAATGGGGTTAATACCTACCCCAAGGGGTGAAGTGTCACGGAGCAGGACGTGTTCCCTGTGTGATTCCAACAGCTCCTGTACCTGCTCACCTGTTTGGTCTCCACCTGAAGAATCTAGCAATGACCTGCCTGCTGCAGCAGTGCTTCTCAACCTTCAGCATGCAGACGGGTCACCTGGGGATCTTGTTTAAGTGGGGCCTAAGGATCTGCATTTTAACCCACTCCCAGGTGATGCTGATGCTGCGGATCCAGGGACCGCACTTTGAGCAGTGAGGAACTAGGACATGCTTAAGTGAAGAATGTAACACTGACTACATTAGCCCCAACCTGGGCATGTGATCTTGCCGTCAGCCTCAGGAAGGAAAACAGACACAAGGACAGACCATCTACAGAGCGCTGACTTAAATAAACAACGACCAACAAAAAATCCCAAAGAGGCCCAGGCTTTGCACCATTTTGCTGTCTGTTTATTTCAAGTTTACAGAGAAGCTTAAACATCTGTGGAAAAACACCAAAGGCTTATTTTTCTCAAGTTCATGTACTTTTAAGTGATAAATACACAGTATTTAACTTTGTACACCTGATAAAAGGAAAATGCATAGTAGAAAGGATCAGGAATAAAACAGAAGCGTCGGGCATTAAAGCAATCACAGAATAGAAAAGTCAGCAGTCCCACGAAACTCGGCCCATAAAGCTGGAGAGAAGATGGGAACCGACAACCTTGAAACCTTCCCTAGCACCTTGGGAGCAAGTGGTGGTCATGGCTCTTCCCCCCCAGCAACGTGAAGCTCCCCTTTGGAAGATGGGTGAGAGCGACGTTGACCTCTGTGTCTAAACGCACAGGTATTTGCCTCCTTGTGTCAGAAAGGCTTTGAGAACAGGAGCCCTAACGCACCTGAACCAGTAGGGAGATGGCCTCTCTGGCCCCAAGTGCCAACAAGGGGCTAGATAAGGCTTTATGGGAGCCACTGTCAAGGCTGAGGACTAGATGCGGGAAGTGGAACAGGACGGAGGAAAGACGGGTAGAGAACTTGTGCTTCCTTCAAGGCCACAGGTGCAAGCCACAGGTTGCTTACACCAAATTGGTCCCACAGATGAGCCAGCAACGGAAGAAACTGATAGGCATCCTTTTTGCTCACCCGGAAAAGCTGCTCCTAACAGCTTCTCCCCTTTCCTGAAAGAGCTGGCTTTTGAAAAATCAATGTTTGTGCTCCAAAAAAGTGGTAGCTCTAATGCTTTATGTTACAGCCCTGTCATACTTTTCAGGGGTGATGGTTCCTTTCTATAGCTTTCTTTGGTGTTTCTTTGTTAAAAAAAAAAAAAAAAAAAAGTTATGAACTTGGGCCTCCCCCAACCCACCCGCCTAAACAGCGGGGTGCTGCCTGATCGCTGGCATTCCACCTACGAAATCTTACATGGGGAGTTTCGTGGTGGAAGAAATGGCGTCGCCCAGTATGGCTGTGTAAACACAGGGGGAGTTCTGCAGAAGCTCTGCGTGCTGCCCGCCCTCCAGGCGAGCCGCGGGAGCCACTCGGCCAGGCCAGAGTCCACACAGACAGGCTGGGACTAAGACTAAGGACCAGTTGACTTGAACCACTGCAAGGTGCTTATTGCAAACTAACCAGACCCCATCTGCTCCCAGAAGGGTGGAGCCCATAAATTTAAACAAGCACAGTAGGGCGAGAGGAAGTAGTGGGTTACAAAAACAAAGAAAGCAGGCCAGACGGCCCTCCATCAGACGGCTGTCCTCTGCTCTTGGAAACGAGCATTCCCTAATTCTGTACTGTTTATAAGATAGCGAGAAAAGTCTAGCTAAACGACAGTCAAGAGCTTATGGAGATCTATGGAAGCCAAGAACGCCCAGGCTCTGTGAATCTGCTGGGCAGGGGGGCACAAGGCCTTGCTTCTCTCTCTGCCAAAAGTCCTCGGATCCACACGAATCAGGTAAAAACTACAGGAAAGCACGTCCTTCTGAGCCCAGTTACTGACACTATTTCCCCCAAGCCAGATTCCACAAAGACTGGGAATCTCCCAGGGCAATGTCCTCCCCGTTTTCCTCCCTCTTGAACTTCACTCTCACCCATCTGTGACTCTGGAAGAAGTCACACTTGAACTACAACCAAGCTTCCCAACACTAGTTGGAAGTCAAAAAGGTAAACCTTTTCTTTCTGGACTTTTGGCCACAAAAGGGAACTTCCTGTGCCAGGCCTAGTTCCCCTGGGCCCTGAGAAGTGCTCTGGGTTTCAACAAGCTTCTAGAAAAGGGTGCCCCAAAGTTACTGTGTAGATCCTAACAGAGCTTTGCCGGTAAGGATGATCATTTGTGTCTCCGTTGAATGGAAGTACTTCCTAACTGGCCCTCCAGAAACTGAGTAAGTTTCGCTGGCTACAACAATCAGCTAGTATTTAAGAAGAAAACAAATCCTTAGCAGTCTCTAGAATACAGAGGTTATAAACAAGCTAAGCTGCTAATATACAGGCATAGATTTCATTGGCTCTAACTCCGATCACATACCTGAAGCCGTGGAATATATCCTGGAAGCTCTAAATGATTTCTGAACTACTCTAGAGTTCAGCCTAGTCAGAGAATTGAAAATGGTTTTTTTGTTTACTTGTAAGCCATGTAATGTACATGGAAGTGTAGGATTTCACCCTGAAGTTTTTGTAATTTAACAAGAGATTTACTAGAGCTCAGTCAACTATTTCAGAAACCTGCTTTGAGTGGTTGTCCTTAAGAAACCCGTTCAGTCCTTCAGGCGAAACTTCTCCCACCAAATGCCCTTCCAGGGTTGGAAAATCCCCTTTGCGAAGCAATTAAACTTTAAGCCCTTTCCGTTTTCCTGACTACAACTCTACCCATAAAAAAATTTAAAAGTCTTTCTTATGAATAAGTTGTATTGAAGCTCCCTGCAGCTACTGAGGGCTAACCCTGCCCTGACCCCTTGAGTCCACGGTTCTGGAAGGTACCACGGTTTAGGATTTGCACGAGGAGTCAGATCCACTCTTTCTCTCCCTTTCAAATGCAGAGACTAACTCTGTGGTCTCAGACTACATCGCCGGAGTTTTCTGCCCGTTTTTCATGATTTTCAAACCCCACACACATTCACTTGGTGTATCGGACATGGTTCTGAGTTCACAATGAAGGATTTTTGGCATAAAAATGTTTTAAAAAGCAACTGTCCCGAAACGCACGTAGGTTTGGGTCTGCAACTCCTCACACTCGCCTGTTCAGCCAGCCAGCGGCCAAGGTCGATGTCACGGAGTCAAGTCTTTTTTTTTTTTTTGTCCCCTTTAAAACAACAAAGGAAAAAAAACAACCATAGATGACAGTCAAGGCTCTACACACGTGCTCGGTTTCCGTAGGACATGCTGCTATGGAAACTCAGGAGGCAGCCCCGAAGGTGAGACGCCTGCATGCGAGGTCGAGGTCCAGACAGCTACTCCATCACCTCATCAGGCCGCAGAGGGTGCATGCGTGCGTGGGAGCCGGGGCCTGGGGGCCCCCAGCTCTCCACTCGGGGACCGCCTTTCACAAGAGCACTTCCTCCTCCCCTACAGGGGGCGGGGCGGGGCCCCGGAGGCTGTCTTCGCTGCCTTGCTTCCTGCTCACCGAACAGAAAACCAACGTTAAGACCAGGGCAATGCAGGCACAGCCTGAACCAGCGTCGCCCGTTCCCGCACTGCCTGGAACGTTATTTACTTAACTCCCTCTAGATTCGCTCCCCCTTCTTTCTTGCTTATGTAAAAGTTTCAAAGGAGACTTTGTATCCCCTCTGTAAATGGAAAATCAGCATCGTTTGCCAAAAATAGAACTATAAAAATAAATGCGAACCTATCTAACACCTAAAATCATCCCACATAAGTAATGTGCAGCCACTTTGGGGCCTGTTCACTGAGGTGTTTTAGGCATCTTGACTTTCTACCCCCTTTAGGCTAAGACTGAAGATTCTTCAGTCACCAGAAGGTGAGCTTCTGGGGGGCAACGAGCAGGACCGCCCGGGCTTGGCCTGGCACATAGCCTTTCAGAAACGGTTGTCAACAGAACTGCCCCCAGCACACAGGCCCAAGGTACACCTCAGACGGAGAAAAGGGCCCTCCTGTTGGCCACGTGAGTGATCAGAGCAGAGCAGACTGAGGAAGTGGGAGGAAAAGTGTCCTTGTGTCCCCAAGAGGCCATATCCTGAAGTGCCCCCAGCTCAAGCTCCCTGGGGTGACAGCCATCGCAGACTGATGGGAGATGTGAGGGAAAATCTCTAAGGAGAGGTCCAAACCCCTTGCCACCATCAAACAAAGATCGCCCCTTCTAAGGGCAGCCGTTGGGCTTGCCACACAGGACTAATGTCCATGGTGTGCCCCTGGCCAGAAGGGAAACTCTGCCCCCACCTCAGGGAAGAGAAAGCACTATGTCTATACTCTCCTAAGAAGAAACCCCTCTGTTTAAAAATCACTAGCTCAGGGACCGGCCCCGTGGCGTAGCAGTTAAGTGCGAGCGCCCCGCCACTGGGGGCCGGGGTTCAGATCCTGGGCGCGCACCGCTTGTCAGACCATGCTGTGGTGGCGTCCCACATAAATTGGAGGAAGATGGGCACGGATGTTAGCTCAGGGCCATTCCTCCTTGGCAAAAAGAGGAGGATGGGCATGGATGTTAGCTCAGGCCTGATCTTCATCACAAAAGAAAAAAAAATCACTAGCTCATTGGCTTTTTATGTTTCTGCCAAAAAACAGAGGGTCAAATCTCCCAGGGAGGACAGCAGTAACTAGATGTCAAATCAGGCCCTCGATTTCTGCCCTAGCAGCTGCCTGCTCACACCGGCTGGCTCTCACTGCAGACAGCTGGTGGGCCTTGGGCCCAAGGCCTCAGACTAAATAAGCCCTATGAGCTCTCCAGTGCCAGATCATTTGGACAACCAAAGCACCCCAGACACAGGCTGGGGGCAGGTGCAGGTAATCCCCAGGTGTTGCTGGGACTGCAGGGGAGGGAATAAAGGGGCAGGAGAGCCCTTTGGGCCAATCCCAGTCTGTGTCTTGCAATTTTGATCTCATTGAAAACAAGAAAAGAAACAAATGACAGACTTGCACACAGACAGGAGACAAACCCTAAAACTTGAGGTTGAGAAGGGAAAGGCCGAGTAAAGGCCAGCCCACTAGGCTTCCACTCCCTGTCACCCTATGAGACTCAAACACTAGGTGGGGCCACCTCGTCATCTGGCTGCAGAAGATCTGGGAACAACCCGGCAGGTAAGAGGCAGCCTTCTCAGATTGTGGACTGGTTCTGATTGCTAATTGCCACTTTCCCTGCTCCAGAAAAGCATAAATAACCCCCAAACCAGTGTTCTTCCTACACTACCATATAAGCCCCTGATTCCTATGTATGGGCGTCAATAAATTTCATCTCATAAGCCAACTCCTAACAAATAGAAATGGCTGCCACTTGTACATGAATGTTCACAGCAGCATTATTCATTTGTGATAGCCAAAAAGTGGAAACAACGTCCATCACTTGATGGACGGGTGAATAAAATGTGGTCTATCCATACAATGGAATACAACTCAGCCATAAAAGGAATGAAGCACTGATATATGCTACACTATGGATGAAGCTCGAAAACATTATGCCGAGTGAGAGAAGACAGACACAAGAGGTCACATGGTGTATGATTCCATTTATATGAAATGTCCAGAATAAGGAAATCTATAGAAACTGAAAGTAGATTGGTGGTTGCTGGGAATGGGGGAGTTGGTGGTGATAGCTAATGGTGCAGGGTTTCTTCTCGGGCTAATGAATATTTTAAAATTGATGGTGGTGATAGTTGTACAACTCTGTGAATATATTAAAAACTACTGAATGATACACTCCCAGTGGGTGAAATGTATGGTATGTGAATTATATCTCCATAAAGCTCCTCTTAAACACAGAAATAGCTGCCTGAAGCTCCCAGTTGAGGACAAGGTGGTGAGTCGGGCTCAGTGGGAAGAGGACTGGGATGTCCACCCTGCCACAGGCACTGGGGGAATGAGCAGCCAGCAGCGGTGCCAAGTATTTATCATCTCAGTCTTACAGGGACAAAAATTCTCATCTGTCCTAGGAGGTACTGGTAATGCTGACCTGGGTGTGCTTGGAAGAGGGATGGCCTCAGGGAAAAGGTCTAGATCCTCCCCAGGGGCAGCGGCTGGAAGGGGACTTATTTTTCTAGGTCTCAATCCATCAGAGAAGAAAGGGTGGATGCTGGAGAGCCCCAAGGGAGAGCCACAGAGTGCAGCATGCCTGATCTCTGCTCTGACCACGCGGACCCAGAGCAGGGGCAGCCATGGGGCCCTGAGACAGAGCTTCAAGGCCATTGACGTGCACGGAGCATGTGTGGGTGCCAGCCTGGGTCGTCAGACCTGGGTGAATTGACAGGCATTCCAGGTGGAGCGCCATGCACCCGCAGCCCCAGCCCACATGCATGACCCGCCATTGGGTCCCAGCCCCTAGATGCCCCTCGTTTTCATCCTGGGTCCGGAGGCCCAAGAGCCTGGGCACAGCAGCGCAGGCTGGAAGGAACCTCCGCCTGGGTGGGGACGCCCCGTGCTCTGCAGCTGTCCCCGCCCCCAGGCCCCAGCAGAGGCCATGCAGGCAGGCAGGCGTTACCTTGGGCCCAGAGAGGGGCTCACACTCCCTGGTTGGTTTTTTGCTGGAATGGCCAGAGAGGAGGGAAAAGGGAAGTGAGAAGGGGCCCCTGGGATCCATGGGATGCCTGCCCCCCACCCCAGAGACACTCAGACCCCAAACACCAGCTTCACAGAGCTGTTGTCAGGGCAGTAATGACCTGGACACCTCTCTGCTGTGACACGTGGGGTCCTGTGAGTGGGATGGGCCTTGCTCACTCATCACAGGGTGGAAAATTCCACTGTCAAGCACACATGCTTCTGGGCCACAGAAGCGTCTCTGATTGTCAAGAGCCCTCCCAGTTCAAGTGCAAATCCCCCTGAGAAAGGTAAACCTTCAGTGGATTAGCTGTCAGCAAAAGAAGGCGGCTGAGCCCAGGGTGGGGTGAAACCAAAGCCAGCAGCTGCTCTCATCTTCCCAGTGTGCCCGGCGGGTCTGGTCTGCATCTTTCCAGACAATACCGCTCCAGGGACGGGCCCAGGCCGAGTGGCCTGGGCAGGGCTGCCGTGCAGTCAGCCTCCATCTCCCCGCCAGGAAGAAGGCAGGTGGACACTCACGTGAGCAGGTTTCCAGGTGCTGACAACGAGCGCTCCTCCCGCCGGCTGCCCTCGAACGGGTTCCCAAAGGAGCGTTTTCGTATCATGGTCTTCACCAGGATCTGAAGGAGAGAAGAGGAGCCTCAGCCACCTGGGGGAGATTCCAGGCAACGTCCTCCCTCGTGCCATCTCCCTCCTACTCTCCCCCCAGGCCCCTGCCAGCTCCCAGGGCTTGTGGCTGATGACAGGTCATTGAGAGACACTGGGCAGCATCCTTCCCACCCAGCAGCCGAAGCTATCACCAAGTCAGACTGGTCTGCTTCTTTGCTCCAAAACCTTCAATGGCTCCCCGATAGCCAACAAGATAAGGCCCAAACTCCTTGGTCTGACATTCAAGGCCTGTCATAACCTAGTCTCAGCCTATCTGACCCCAAGGGAAGTTGACCTTGATTCTCCTTCCAGTACACCTGCTACCACCTGTCTCCTCTGAGCCATCGCCAGATGTGCCCTCCTGGCCCATCCACCTGTCTTGTCTTCAAGGCCAAGCCTTTATTTTCAGTGAAAGCCATCTATGACCATCCCAACGAGAAACCAATTATTGCTTCCTAGGTATAATCTGGTGTGAGGGGGGGTTACGCTTTTTTTACGGAAATATAATTCACATAGCATAAAATTCACCATTTTAAAGTGCCCCTGGCAACCACCAATCTGCTTTCTGTCTCTGTGGATTTGTGCATTCTGGACATTTCATATAAAGGGAATCACATAGTATGTGAACTTTTGTGTCTGGCTTCTTTCACTCAGCATAATGTTTTCAAAGTTCATCCATGTTATATCAGTACTTCATTTCTTTTCATGGCTGAATAATATTCCTTTGTATGGACGTGCCACATTTTGCTTAGCCATCCATCCACTGGTGAATATTTGGGTTGTTTCCACTTTTTGGCTATTGTGAATAATGCTGCTATGAACATTTGTGTATAAGTTTTTGTGTGGATGTATGTTTTCCACACAAAATGTTTTCATTTCTCTTGGGTATATACCCAGCAGTAGAATTTCTGGATCATATGGTAACTCTATGTTGAACATTTTGAGAAGCTGCTAGATTGTTTTCTACAGTGGCTGAACCATTTTACATTCCCACGAGCAACACACAAGGGTACCAATTTCTCAGGGGGCTGCATTTTAGTGGAGGGTGGGAAATACCTGTCCAAGTCTAAGGAGCAGAGGAAGCATCCCAGGACAGAAGATGGCCAGTCCACAGGCTGGCGTGGTGTGAGGGCAATGGAGCTCAGAGGTCCTGAAGGTCATTCCAAATCTGAGAGATGCTGAGGGCTGGCCTTGTCCATTGCCGGGGATGGGAACTCTTTGGTGCCCCCTCCCCTCACCCACTCTAGCACACACTGGGTTCACAGCTTGGTTTGGAAACAGCTGCCTGAGGAGAGGATCCCTTGGGAAAGGTAATACCCCTCGTCACATCCTTCAGCCACTGCTCAGCTCCCCTCCTCTGCCTCCCAGTTCCCCACCTCACCCCGCCAATCTGCCCCCATCCTTTCTGAAACCCAACCTCAATCTCTCACTCTACGACTCACAATCCTCCACTCATAGGAGTTTGGAACTTATCCTGTTGCCAGCCAGGGAGCCATGGAAGATTCTGGAACAAGGGAGTGAACTAGTCACCTTTGGTGACGCTTTTGGCTGCTGTAACCCGTGAAGGAATTTTCAAGAAAATGGCCTCAACACCCGATAAGGAGTCACTGAGAAGCCAGGCTCTGGCTCCCATCCCCTTTGAGCAGAGCATGGTGCCTCTTCAAGCTGTCTCATGTACTGACTGAGCTTCTGAATTTCCTTTTTAAAGGTTTGCTGCTAAGAACAAAAGTAAGTGTAGGGGCCAGCCCAGGGGCGCAAGTGGTTAAGTGCGTGCGCTCCACTGTGGCAGCTCGGGGTTCGCCGGTTTGGATCCTGGGCGCGCACCAACACGCTGCTTGGCAAGCCATGCTGTGGCAGCGTCCCACATAAAGTGGAGGAAGATAGGCACGGATCTTAGCCCAGGGCCAGTCTTCCTCAGCACACACACACACACAAAAAAGAGGATTGGCAGATGTTAGCACAGGGCTGATTTTCCTCACACACACAAAAAAAAAAGTGTTTAAAAAAACACCAATTTACCAAAAGGTGGAAACACCCAGATGTCCACCAGCTGCAGAATGGATAAACAAAATGTGGTCTATCCACACAATGGAATATTATTTGGCTATAAAAAGGGATGACATGCTACACCATGGATGAACCTCAGAAACATTATGCTAAATGAAAGAAGCCAAACACAAAAGGCCACATACTGTGATTCCATTGATATGAAATGTCCGGAACAGGCAAATCCAAAGAGACAGAAAACAGACTGGTGACTGCCAGGGGCTTGGCAGTGTGGGGAAAGGGGGAGGTTGCAGAGTGACCACTAATGGATACGGAGTTTCTTTTGGGGTGATGAAAATGTTTCAGAACTACAGAGGTGATGGTTGTATGATATTGTAAATGTAATAAATGCCACTGTATTGTTTTTATTATTTTTGTGTGTGTGTGAGGAAGATCAGCCCTGAGCTAACATCTGCCAATCCTTCCTCTTTTTTTTGCTGAGGAAGACTGGCCCTGGGCTAATATCCGTGCCCATCATCCTCTACTTTATATGGGACGCCGCCACAGCATGGCCTGACAAGCGGTGCGTCGGTACGCGCCCGGCATCTGAACCGCGAACTCCGGGCCACCGCAGCAGAGCACGCGCACTTAACCGTTTGCGCCACCGGGCAGGCCCCTACTGTTCACTTTAAAATGGTTAATTTTATGTTACATGAATTCTATCTCAATAAAAAAGAAGAAAAGAAAAGAAAAACACTGACTTGGTGAATGAAGGCACACCCCTCGCCAAGGCCCATGCTCCAGGGTTCCTGGAACACACCAGCCCCTTTCCTCTGGCCCTTTGCAGGTGTCGCTCCCCCTGGCGAGACCACCCTGCCCCTCCCCTGTGGCCTTGTCAAACCAGCCAACCCTTCCTGGCCCTCGGGACCCAGCGGAAGGAGCTCCTCCTCTGTGAAGCCTCCATCTTAGCCCTCTCTGTGCTGGCCTGTCGCCACGTGATGGCACAGGAGGGTGATTCTTTCCGGGTCCATCTTTCTTCTGAGGCCGGGAGCCCCATGAGGGCTGGCACTGCACCTTGTTCATCTCTGTAACCCTGTGCCCAGCACACACTGGGTGGCAGGAGGGGGCCTAGACCTCCCTATTCCAGCCCCATCTCCCCAAGACGGCTGCAGTAGCCCCCACTTCCTCCCTGGCCCCCACAGGCCATCCTCCCCATAGGATCTTTCCAAAGCCAACTCTGATCATGCTGCTCCCCTGATTCAAACCCTGCAGGTGCTTGCCACACTCTTGGGACCAAGACTTCAATCTCCGCCGTCGCCGCAGTACTTGTGCGGCCCCACCTCCTGCCCAGCCCCATGCCACCCTCCCTCCACCTTCCTTGCCCTGCTGCAGGCCCTGGCTTTCTTGAAGCTTCCCGTGGGCCTAGCTCCCTCCCACCAGAGCATCACCGCAGTTTGCTGTTCCTTCTGCAGGGAACACCCTCCATCCTCTACCCTCTCTTGGCCCGGTTAAGGCCCTGCCATCCTCTCCGTGCACGTCCACTTCTTCCAGGAAGCCATCTCCGACCCATCACCTGGGCCACGCCCCTCCTCTAGGGTAGGGGTATACCTCGCGGCCCCTGTTACATTGCACGTTGATTTGTTGGCTGTTTGCCCAGCGTCTGCCATCTCCAGGACAGCAGATGCCATGCTGGTTTTACTCATCACTGGACCCCCTGCTCCAAGCACAGGCCTGAGAAACCACTCGGTGTTCGTGTTCCCTGAATAATCAATGACTATTTCAGACCTCTAGGGTCAAATCCCTTCTCCCGAGAACATCTCGAGCCTGGAACAAAATAACCCGTGGTGGGCACCAGGGTCCGACGCCAGCTGCCACCATGGTGGGCGCAGGACATGGGTGCAGTCGGTGGATGAGAAAGAGTGAGTGGGTGTGGGTGAGTTTTTAATAGTGAAGGTCATGCAGAGGCCCCAGGTGGGGGAAGAGGAGGGAGATGTGAATGGATGCCCCATCCCGGGGGCTCAGGCTTTGGAAGGAAGAGAAAAAGTGTGTGGGGAAGCAGGAGGGAGAGGTGCAAAGCTGGGAGAGACGGAGCCAGCATCTGGGCTCCTAAAGGGGCAGTCACTCGAGGCCGCACACTGTGTCTTTGTAGACAGTCCTACCGGTCCCTTCCCAGAGTCAAGGCCCTGCCTACCCGCTGGGCCAGTCTGGCCTAACGCACTCTGGGGCTTGTGAGGTGGCCGTGGCGGGGTGGCCAGCTGGATTCTGCTGCCTGGAGCCTGGGCCCCTGAGGGTCCTGGTCTCCCTCCTCGAGACAGACACTCTCTTGGGCAGAGGCTTGGCAAGTGGGTGATTTTCAGAGTCCAAGGTTAGGCCTCAGGACTCCACATTCGGGCTCCTTCTTTTTGGTTCAGGACCCAAACGTAAGGCCACAGAAGGGGGCCTCGTGGCTCCTGAGCAAACTCTGACCCTCAGGAGTCAGGAAGAACTTTGTGAGGCATGTGAAGTGGGAGCCCCTGCCCCAGCCCTGGAAGCTGCCCACACGGCAGATGTGAGACAAGCTAAGCCATCCTCTCTAGAGACTGAAGATCAGCCGGGTGGGAATCCCATGTTACAGACCTTGGCTCCTGCTCCCACACTTGGCACCTGGCCTGCTCCTCCTCCTTCACCTGCTCCCCATGACGTGCTCTGAAAGCAGGGACTCCAGAAGAGCCAACAAGATCCCTGGAGAGGGACTACTCCTCTCTCTGGTAACATGGGACGTGGCTGTAGACAGAACTAAAGCTAGAAGATGCAGGGGCCGCCTGGCCTGATGTGTGACCAAGGCCCAGAGGCTGGTGGCTGTGGGTTAGGGGCAGACCCGGCCATCCTCTGATTCTCAGGCCCAATGTCTGCTTCTCACATGCCCGTCCTCGCCGGGCCCACCTCAGCTCTCTCTATCTTGGTCAGTGGTTCCTCCCGCCTTACCACGGTCGCCAGGCTGGGAATGTGTTTGACCGAATTCTCGACCTCCTCTTCAGTCACCTCGACCAGCGTGCAGTTCTCGTCCTCCGATGGCAACGGCTCCGCCCCGTGCCTCGTGACCCAGGGGTGCAGCTTCAACGAATGACAGGAGGGGTGAGGGGCGGGAACGGCTGGCTCCCAGAGGCAGGAGAGCAACGCCAAGGCCCTGCCGGTGAGCGGAGCCAGGGAGGGAATGCGGGAGGGGAGAGGCAGTGGCCTGAGGTCAGGCAAGCAAGAGAGCTGGCAAGCCAGGCAGAGGGTGGGGTGAGCGAGATGGGAGGAAACGTGGAAAAGACAGAGAATGGGAGGGAGCTAGGAGGCTGGGATGTGCACTGGACCAGATTCTCCATCTGACCCCAGGTCTTGGCAGAAGTGACTGGAATTTGGCATCTGCCTTGCATAGTTGCCCAAGGAGCACCCTCAACAACTCTGCCCAATGCCTGGAAGGCTCAGCTCAGAGCAGGCAGCATCCTCCCCATTTCACAGAAGGGGGAACAGAGGCTCAGGGAGGCACAAAGTCAGAAGGATACAATCAGGAGAGGACCCAAGCAGGGGTCTGCCCCCCCATTACCCACTCCTGGGGTCCAAGTCCTTAATGTAACCTCTTGGGCTGCCTCCTCTTCAAAAGCTAGTTAGCTAGGTGCCCAGGAGTTCCCGCAGCAAATCTCTAGGTTTCTTAAAGGGCCAGATGTGTGGATGTGGCATTGGTGGGCGTGTAGGGTTGGACGGGGGTCTCTCCTAATAGTGCTTTCTGCAACTAGGTGGAATTCAGCAGGCCGAGGTGGGAGGGGGTCAAATTGCTCACTAACTTCCTCCCACCCTCACTCAAAGTGATGGGCAGGGTCAAGGAAATGACCCAGGACTTTGGCAGCCAGGGCATGGAGCACACAGAGGCCCCGGTCTGGTCCAGTCCAGGGAGGGTGGGTGCATCAGCCCAAGCCAATCAGAGTGAGCGCTAGCTGCCCTGCTGGCAGCAGATCCCACTTCTGCAATCACAGTCAACACAAGTCCTAAAGCCTCCTCCCAGCCCCCACCAGCCCCCAGCAGCCCAGAGGCCCCAGGGCACAGGAGGGCAGCGGTGCCTAGGAGGGCGGGCACTGTGGATGGAGGGGCATGGGGCCTGGCCAAGGCGGGGCTGAGCCAAACAACTCCAAGCAGAGAACACGGGCCAAGCCCCCGGCACACACCCAGTGGGGCAGCAGCGACCCCCAGGTACCTTGATCTCCGGCACCACGATCCTGGACTCGGGGTTCTTGTCCAGCATGCGGGTGATCAGGTCCTTCAAGTCCTCGGCTATGTCGGGCCTGGGGGTGGGAGACACAGCAGGAGAGGGAGACACACACAGGACCACCAAGGGCTTGGAGAGGGGCAATTTGGGATAGACAGATGATACTCACTGATCTGGAAATTCCAAGGCCTGACTCTTGATCTTACTGTGTAGACACATGATCCGCTCGTCCATGAACGGGCACTGCAGAGAGACGTCAGGGACAGAACGGCCGTCAACGGCTGGCACATCCATCCTGCAAGGGCCGTCCTGTGCTAGTGTCACTCCATATGGGTTACAGCAGAGAAATAAACAGCCCAGGGGCCCAGTGTAGAAAAGAAGCAGTTCCCATCCCTCTAAGTTCTAGAAGGACCAGGAATAGCCTTCTAGAAGGGCTAGAGCCCATCCCAACCACATGGCGGCCTTCCTCTGTAGCTGTGCTGCAATTTACCCACTTATACGAAAGGAAACACTCTTTTTCACCCACCTGCCAGGTGAACAATAATAATACTAAGAACAATACAAAAGACATACTAGTAACAGCAGTGATTTGTGAGGGCTGAGCCTGAGCCGGTCCCTGGACTGAGGTTTCTCAGCACCAAGACTTCACTGGCTGTTCCCTCTGCCTGGAATGTTATTCCCACCAATATCTGCACAACATCATTCAGGCGTATGATCAAAGCCAACTTCTCAGGGAGGCCTTCCTGGGTTCCTGGCTAAAACAGACGCTCCCTCCCACCGCCCTGTGATTTCTCATCAGAGCACCTATCCCTGACGTTACATCACATGTGCATTTGTCTACTGTTTAACTCCCACACTGCAAGGCCAGCCCCAAGAGGGCAAGGATTTTCATCTGTCTTGCTCACTGCTGACTCCCCAGAGGCCAGGCACACCCCTGGCACAAGACAGGGGCTCGACAGATACTTGTGGAATTAACAAACGCCTGAATTATTTCTGTCGATCCTCTCAGAAGCCGTAAGAAACAACAAGTATTATTCTCCTTTTACAGAAGAGGAAAACAGAAGCTCAGAGAGGTGATGTGTCCCAGGAAGAGCAAAGCTGAGATTTAAGCCTAAATTGGGCTGACTCTGAGGCCACCTCCCGGGTGACAAATTGATGCTCTCACCCGGCAGAGGGCCTGACCAGGAGGAGCTCAGGTATTCTGCCGGAAAAAGGACGCTTTATGTGGGGTGCTCAGAAGGTTGGAAAAGGTCACAAAAAGTGACCTGGTCCACTCCTGTCCAAGGAAAATGATTCCATTAAGAGCAGTAACTTGAGATAAAAGTTGTATCCATTTGACAGAATTCCTTAAATAGTACACTTAGGATCTGTACATTTCATTATATGTAAATTTTACCCCAAAACAAAAAAAAGAGAACCACAAACAAACAGTGAGCTCTAACTAATGACTGCATTCTGCAGCATTTGGAAGGAAGTGTAGAGATGCTGGCAACTTACTCTGAAATGTGTAAAAAAATAAGACAGATTGAGGATGGACGGACATGTAATAAAGCAAGTACAGTAAAATGTTTGTGGGAGAATCTAGGTGGTTGCTGCGTGGGTGTCTATTGTATAATTCTTTCGACTTTGCTATATGATTGTAAATTTTCTAATCAAATGTTGGCGGGGAGGAGATTATAAACTCCTTTACTTTCTCACAGTCTCTTAAGCTTTCCTCAATAGGAGCAGAAGCTCATAAAGAGGAAAAATCCATGCTTTTATTGCTCACATAATCAATCAGAACTTCAGAGTTAAAAACAGAAGCCCCTAGATATCAATAATATAAAAACAACAACAGTAAAAAAAAAGACAAAACAGCACTCCCTAAATCAATAATGCTAAATGGATTCTAACTTCCATTCCAATTCAATCCCTCCAACAACAGCTTCCAGGAACACTCTGTTGAGAAGAACATCAAGCAGTATTGGGCTCAAGAGGAAAGAGTGCAGTTATTGATTAGTGATGTCTGTCTCGGGTTTAGGAGTGGGCAGAGGTGGCACATTTGCTGTCCTTGCCTTAAATTCATCAATTATTTACAACCTTTAGAGCCTCTGCCAATCCTTCTGTTTCATCAGATCATTTTTTCACAGATATGACTATCATATATAGATATGTACATTTGGGAAGGCATCCTTTTTCATATTCAGATCTAACTGTGGAAATAAAATGATATAAGGTTTAAATGAATAAGTACTGTCTCCCTGCAAGGGTGACTATTAATCTAAGGGGGCCACCCAGCATCACACAGAAGACACCCCACTGTGTTACCTGGCCAAACACAAAGCAGTACAACGTCACACCCATGGCCCAAACATCCAAGGCCTGAAAGAAAAAGAGAGCTTCGTGTGAAGGGACAACAGTGAAGGGCATCTACTGCTTTTGCCTGTCCAGCATCTAGTCCTCCAGCCATCCTTTGGGGAACCACCTCTTCTTTACTCTCAGTTTACAGAGTTGGGGTAGAGCTGATCCTGCCCCCTGGCCTCTGGGTGGGCACATGATCCAGGCCCAGCCATTGAGAGCACCACTTCCCCCAGCAATAGTGATTGGTTCAAGGATGGGCACATGACCCAGACCTGGCCAGAGCACCACTCCCCCTTCCCCAGCCACAGTGATTGGTTCAAGGCTGGGCATATGACTCAGACCTGCCCAATCAGAGAACCACTTCCCACCCAACACACACCCCCCTCCCCACTGCCACAGTGATTGGTTCAAGGATGGGCACGTGACCCATGCTGGACCAATCAGAGCCAATCCCAGGATTTTCGCTGGAGCTCTCCAGAAAGAGGAATGCTCTTTCTTTTCTTTTCTTTTTTTTTTTTTT